TTCAATACGAAATGAACAGACAATCAAATATTCTATGTATTGCAGTTAACAACGAGACCAGGATACAGACCGTGGATTAAATGAAATGAGGGAGGAAGGAAAAATCAGAGAGGGGAGGTGAGAGTATACAGTAAGAGTTTAACACTGTAAAAAGTTAACTGCAACAATCAATAGTTTATACCTATAAATGATTTCTGAAAATAACTAATGCAATTTAAGCAACTAAAAAAATTTAAGTAGTCTATGAGATTGTTATTGCTGCTTACTGTGATATAGAGATAGATAGATAGATAGATAGATAGATAGATAGATAGATAGATAGATAATCTTCATTTATTTCCATTGCTGGCTTCAAGTATGGTTCTTGCTTCAATCAGTCCTTCCCTGACCCTTTTAACAACCAAGCTTTAGTTGTACTAGGTTATCTTCCACTCCTCTCAGTTACCACCACCACCCCCTTAAAATCTATTTGTCTATTCTTTATTCAGTTCTATACAAAGAGGCTACCATCAATTGGACTACCATGACTTCACATTGGGTTTGATCCGTGGAGCACCCTACCAATAAAGTAGTGAGAGGAAGCAGAAGCTATAGAGATACCCATGGCCCTGCTAGCTGCCTCCCTGTGTCACTGTCCTCAAGGCAGCTGTGTCCCTTGCAGAACAGTCTTTTTCCCTCTAATCACTGCACTGGGTGATATTAATTTGCCTTAAGGTTCATTGCTATGAAATTAATTCCAACTCATAACAACTCTACATCTGTTTTTTAAGATTTTCAAGTCTGTGATTTTCAGAAACTGATTACGAGACCTGTCTTCCGAGGCTTTTCTGGGTGAGTGTGAACCACCCATTTTTCTGGCTAACAGGCAAGCACTTAACCACTGACACTATCCAGGGGGAAAATTAGGTCACCTAATGAGTTGGTTTCAACTTGATAGCAAATGAGTAAGTGAATGAGTGACAGATGGCAGACTCTGTCCTATAGGGTAGATAAAAGATGGAATTCACTTGATAGCAATGAGGGTTTTGTTTTTTCAGTACTTCCTTTTTTATCTGTCACATCAAGTCCTGTTGGATCTTTAAATGACAGTGCTTATATAACAAAGTCCTTTTGTTTCTATTACTTCTAATTGGTTTTTAAGTCTTGCCTCAACATATGCCACAAGGGCTAGTCTTCTTGCCTCGTCTTTCCTCCTACAATTCATACTTAACTATTGAAATACCAACTGCATAGAACTCCCTACTTAAAATCTTTTAAGTCTTTCTGCTTTCTTTCTGCCTCATTACTAAATCTGGAGATTAAAGAAATACTATAGTCACAACTCCATGTCTTATTTACTTACTATCTTCTAAACATGCTTTGAATTTCAATATTTTCACCCACTTATTAATTTTATTCCCTCAGAGCATAATGCTTCACATGATTCCTGTCTGCCCATTTAAATCTATCCAACTGTTCTCCATATTCCTACTCTCAATATCCTCCAATCTTGTAAACTTTAATTTCCTCATCTGAAAATTTCTTTGAATTTATAAATAGCACTCATTTGATCCTTTTGTTTTATTTTTTTAGTTATTTTGTATTTCCACAATCATATTGTTCATTCCATCAGTGAAAGAAGCATGTAAGAAACAGTGCCAAAAAAAAAAAAATTTTTTTTAAAAAGCAAAAAAAAAAAAAAGAAACAGTGCCATACAAAGCATTTACTCAAGAATTCTTGAAAACTTAAGGATTAAGAAAAGTGAAAAATATCTACTAAGTTGAAGGATAAAACAGTGCATCTTAAGCATAATTTAATATTTGCAATTAAGTTAAAATATTTTTATAAAAGTGTATCTATTATTTAAAACACTGACATAAATGTATTAATTCTTAAATATTATTTAATAATAATTTTCATATTTATGTAATTTTTAAAGTGATTATTAAAATTGCATTTTCACTGAGTTCAGCCTCTTTCTTAATAAAGAATAAAGAGACTCCCCTCATCCCCTAACTCACCACATCCACCTATCTACAAAGAAGGTCTCCTCAAAGAGAAGAGAAAAGACATTGCGGGTTTCAGGCCTGTCAGAGTCAAGACCATCTTTCATTTGTGCTTTACTAATACTTTTCAAGAATTCTTTATGATTACTAATTTACAACTGTCATCACAAAGCAATTTTTATGTTTAAATTAGTATGTCCACTTGAAAACCTTTAAAGCATTATTTAGTGTTTCTTAAAAAATTTAACAGAACATTTCTAGTACAAATAAATCCTGTGAGAGAAATGTGGATTATTTTAGTCTAAAACAGGGTGAATAAAATAGCCCACAGTAACTCCTAATAATATGTGGAAATATTTTATACAGAAAATAATGAGGATGCTTAGAGGTAAGTCATTTTATGATTTTAGTACTTCTTTGTAGATAACATCATGATTACTATTTCTAGTATGGTTTATATGTTGTTATGTTGTTGTTACATGCTGTCAGGTGAGGATTACCTAACAGCTGACCCTCCAGAAACTGTCAATCACATGCCACTGCTCATATTTCTCTCCTGGAGAAGTTGACGATTTGAACTGTGTTCCTCTGTTGACAGCACAATACCTTACCCACTAGTTGGTTATACAGGTCTATGTAGAGAAGATACAAGAAGAAAACCTTCTATGTGAACATGTAGAGAAATGACATGACAGGTCAATAAATATCATTAGGGACATTTTAGAGTGATATGAAATCCAACATTCCAGGAATTGTCTCCTATATATCCAAAAGGAAGTATTACTCTATAGACTATCATTTCCTGCAATTTACCAGGTCATAAAAGGCTGCAGATATCCAAGAATATTGTTTTCCTTCTTTTCTCAGTCGTTCATTTTCCAAAACATACACAACTAGAATTTAAGTTACAAATTTATATCATCACAAGAAATTATATTGCTCCTAATCCACTACCTAAAGGAAAAAAGTAATAGAATATTTCACAATAATCTTTGTTCATTTGTATATATTCTAGATGTCAGAAGAATTAAAATATACTGATTTTAACTCATTTAAATATGTATTTGATTCTACAAATTATGCATTTGATTATACAGTGCCTTTCAAGCCGTTCAAATCCACCAGCAACTCTGACAAAAAAAGATGGGTAGTCTCCTCCTGCTAAAACTACACCCTTGGAAACCCAACAGAGGAGGAGCACTAATGGAATCAGAATTAACTGGCTAGGAGCGAATTAACTAGGTGGTGGTGAATTTGAGTTTAAGAAGGTTTTTACTATTATTTTAGAATAAGATAATTATTTAACGAATACCTTTTCCTTTCAGTGTTAATAATGATCTAAAATGCACTATCGAATACTTTCCCCTGTATTACACAAGTAACTATTCTCTCACCTAGACCTTGCAAATCCTCCTCTTTGAGGTCTTCATTAAAAATTAAGATGTTCCAGGTCTGCCAGAGTCAAGACCACCTTTCACCTGTGCTTTTTCTACTACAGCATCACTATAAATCAGAGACCATTCCAGACTATAGATACACACGTATATTAATGTTTGGTGACCTTTTTGATGAAATAAACTACCATCTCACTGAAGATTTACTGGCACTGTTGTCATCATTCTCTGAAGAACAAGGAATAATCCCTTCAACTCAACAAAAAATAAGATTATGTGAAGAACTAGAAGTACTTGGGAGTAAGAACAAGCCTCAGTGAGCAAAGAGATATCAGATATTCAAGATTCTTAATAATGAGAGTTTGTCACAGTGACAGAAACCTATCTACATATTTCAGAATCTTCATTTAGTTTAAAAAGCAGTATATAGATTCTTTTTCTCCATTAAGAGCCAAAGTGAAGTATTAATATTTATTATTATAAAATATCCTACGGTATAAATTCTATTGTCTTTATAATCATTGGCAAAAATGAAAATATTTTCTCCAAGAATTACAGCTACTAATCCCGCTTTTAAACATGTAAACTATCTTACCAGATACCAAGATTTCAAAGAAGACAAAAGAGACAGAAGAATCAAATAAGACTATTAAAAAGTTGCTTCTCACATAAGAAAAAGAAATCATACCTCTCCAACACTGATTAAAAAAAAATTCTCGTTTTACTATAGAATGAAAATATCATTATTTTTTAATAAAAAGTAAAAGTTACCTCATACACTAGCCTACTGACCACTATAAGCAAATAACATCGAGTAGTTACATACCTAGATAATATTAAAATTATTTTAATGTTATGGAGCTGTAATTCTGTCCAGAGGGTTCATGATAGGAAAATCTGTACTCCTCAAAGTTACAAGGTACAACTCTCTTATCTACATAAGTTACTTTAAACAAGAAACGTTTCACAATGTCCAGGCTAAAGCAAATAGTATTACAAAGAAGTTTGTATCCATCACCTGGTAACAGCAATGCTGAAGCTTACCAAATGAGGAGGTTATAAATAATGAGTATTTTATAAGATGTCTACCTGGTTCCACATTTTCGGTCTCAACTTCTTGTTCTTCTGCCACATCTTGCATCATATAAGTTTCATCATCATAAACCAGAACCTGGGCTGCATAGCCCTGCTCTAATCTGGCACTTGGGACTGGCTCCACAATCACTGCTGGGTATTCAGAAACCTTTTCACTTTCCTACAAGAGCAAATTTAAGAAACAATCAACCTTTTTATTCACATGTTCTAAATTCATTTATAAACCCTTGAGCAATTCACACAAATCAATTCCATGTGCTATAATCATGAGTGTATAAACACCAAAACAAGAAATAGAAAAGATCAGCTTTAATAATCTTTTCAAGTCTCAAAGTGTGAAACAGAGTTAAAATGTTAAGTAATCAGAAGCCTGCGAAGCTTGGCTGGACCATGAGAGGCAACAAGATCTCAAGCTTCAGTGTCTACCAATGAAGGCGGCTCAGATGGGTTTAGTGGTCTGGTTCTGAAGGTGTCTGAGCCAGCCAGCTGGATTCTGCTGCATCAACTAGCAGAGCTGAGGTGCTCATGCAAAGACCTGGACTGGGTGCTGGACTAGGGCCCCAGGATAGAGTGACCCGCTGGCATGGTCAACGTTTGCCTGAACCTGAGCCTGAGGAGGTGAAACAAGGTCTTCTGGAGCTTTAGCAAGTAAAATGTGGAAATTTGCTAGTGAAGAGAACACCAACAATTAGAATCACCTCGAGAAAATGCCAGTAGTAAGAATTTAAAAATCTCAGGGAGCTCTGTTGGCCTAGTGGCAAGAAGATGCACTGCAATCCCAGAGGTACACAGTTCAAATCCACTAGATGCTCTGCTGGAAAAGGAGGGACAATCTCCTCCTGTACCAGTCAGAACCAATGTGATGGTACACACACACACACACAAAATAATAAAATTTTTTAAAAAAAGACTTCTCCTTGGAGAGGGACATCATGTTTGGCAGAGTGGCGGGACGGCGCAGGAGAGGAAGACCCTCGATGAGATCGATCGATTCTGTGACTGGAGCGGTGGGAATAAGTGCATTTGAGATGGCTAGATTGGCACAGGATAGAACAGCGTTTAGAGCTCTTGTACATAGGGTCGCTATGAATCGCAGATGACTTGATGGCACATAACAACAAGAAGTATTGGAAATAAGTGGAATGATTTAATGTTTGTTCTTTGTGTCTAACTTCCCTCACTTAATTATTTTCATGTCTCATTCATATTATAACACATATAAAAATTTCATTTTACTTTTATAATGTGTAATATTCTCTATAAACCATATTTGTCTATTAAAAAGAAAAAAGAATTCAAAAATCTCTACAACAGATAAACTTATTTTAGGGGAACATTAATTATAAGAAAACAAAGCATCCACATAAAGGTCTGGCTGTATGTACTTTGCTCCTGAATACCCTCTCCTCATTTGCTGGAATAGTTGCAATAATTCTAACATTATTAGAATTATCAAAGTTTCATTCTGTGTCATATAGGAATTATGGACATGCAAAACTGGGAAGAGAAGTGTCACAAATTTTACTCTTTTCCTACAACTTGGAGTTGTATACTCATTCCTCTGCTGTGTGTATTTGCGTAAAGGCCATCAAGATGGAGGTGTTAGGAAAGAAGCTGACAACACTCTACAAACTCTAAAATGATATTTTTTTAATTATTCTCTTTGATGTGGGCCCTAATGATATGTCTATATCAAAGCTGGCACAAACCTACAGATTTTGTGCAAAGGAAAAATAAAGTTAGTTGGCTTCTCCTCCACTATTCAAGAAACTGTTCCACACATATTTTTCTAGGCTCCAGGGGAAAAGCTTTTCCTCCATTTAAAGATCATTGCAAGGAAGAATTTGCTATCTCGGTACTCACAGAGTACTGTCAACTATCCATAAGAGCATGTGCAAAAGACCACAAGAAAAGATTTGTGATTGTGTCTATAAAGTGCAGACTGTGCACAAAGAACTAGAGCAGGATATTGTGTACTTCTCAGGAAACTTGAAACAATGCCCATCCTAACAAGCAGAGAACAGATTTCCATTTTTTACCTAAATAAAATATAAATCTTAAATTTTAAAACAAAAAGTGTTAAGTAATCAGGGCTTTAAGATGATAGATTAAAAACATGCATATATTATACTGTGCAAATAAAATGGACACATAAGTAGCATATATACACGTTTAACACACAGAGAACACAAAGGGAACTAACATATAAGGTGCTTTTAAGGTATGGGGAGGGGAAAAATGTTATTTTTGCCTAGAAAATTTCACTTTCTTTCATGAAAGTCAATCAAAACTACAGCAAAAAGATTTTTAGGCATAGACATCAACTCTCAAGGTCATGGAGTACAGAAAAAAAAGACCAATAAAAAACTTGGACATTTGAGTGGCATCCACTTTCTAAAGCACATGCCTCAGGAAACTCTTACGAACTTTGATAAATGAAGATAGTTACAGAAAGGCTTTGGGCCTTTTGTTCATAGGGTCACTGGGTCGTGCTCAACTCAACAGCAATCAACAAGAAAGAGATGAGTATTAAGTATGTTAACCTAGCAGCCAAATCATAGCTACCATACAGTACAAAAGGTTGAGAAACAGACTTTATATTGGAAAATTCATAGATATAACACCAATTACTTCTGAAAGAGGAAGCACAGAAAATGAGGAAAGGGGTGACAAACAAGAATGATTAAACAAAAGATACCTGAAACACATTTTAATTCCTATTCTTTTTCCTTCATGATGCTACGTAAGTTGGCCATACCTCCACCACTTCAACAGAAGACTTTAAAAAAAAAACAAAAAAAAAACCCCCCGGTTTTTGTTGGGGAAAAAAATTTGAAAACCCCCTAAAAAAAAAAAAAAAAAAAAAAAAAACAACCCCCCAAATAATTTAAAAGAAGAGAGGGGGGGGGGGGGGAGCAAAGTCTTCAAAGTACAATAAGTGCATTTGTTAATATCAACACTGTACCAAAATCAGAGTTTTCAATTATTTCATTTTCTACTTTTAATAATTACACCGCTAACCAGTCAGTTAGACATAGTTTGGTGGCTTGCATTTTGTTGTGATGCTGGAAGCTCTGCCACTGGCATTTCAAATACCATCAGGTAATCCATGTTGGAGAAGTTTAAGTGGAGCTTCCAGACCAAAAGAGATGAAGCAGCAAGACTGAAGTATTGGGCCTTAAAAACCATATAGTCAATAAAGCACAAACAGACATTGTTCTGGTATTCCTTACTTTCAACCAGAATCCATCTGACATCAACAATGATATCCCTGGTGCCATGGTCTCTTCTAAATCCTTCTTGAACTTCTGGCAGTTCCTTATCTATATACTGTTCCAGCCATTTTTTAATGATCTACAGCAATATTTTGATTGCATGTGATATCAATGATAATGTTTGATAATTTCAACATTGAGCTGGATCCTTCCTTGGGAATGGGAACAAATATGGACCTCTTCCAATCCATTAGCTAGATAGCCATCTTCCATATTTCCTAGCATAGACTGGTGAATGCATCCAAGGCTGCATCTGTTAACTCAAACAAGCCAATTGGTATCCCATCGCTTTATTTTTTGCCAATGCCTTCAATGCAACTTCTACTTCCTCCATCATTACCACTGGCTCCTATTCTTATGGTACTTCCTGAAATTTTTCAGTGTCAATCAATTCTTTCTGGTACAGTAATTCTGTGTGTTCCTTTTATCTTTTTTCTTTTGATGCTTTTTGGGTCACTCAATCTTTTGCCCATACCATTTTTCCATGAAGCTTAAATTTGTTTTTCAGTCCTTTCAACTTGAGAAATGCAGAACAAGTTCTTCCCTTTTTATTCTTCAACTCCAGCTCTCTGCAAATTCCATTATAATATTTTGTTTTGTCCTCGAAAGCTGCCCTTTCAAACCATCTGTTCAGCCCTTTGACTTTGACATGTTTTCTGTTAGATTTGAAGTCTCAACATTGCAGTGCAATCTTTAGTCTCTTCTGAAATCTATTTCGATTTTTCCCCTCTTATTTTTATAATGGCCTTTTGCTTTCTTCATGGATATCCTTGATATCATCCCACAACTCATGTGGTCTTCTATCACTGATGCTCAGTGCCTCACACCTACTCTTAAAATGAACATAAAATTCAGATGGGAATTATTTCAGATTAAGATTATATATAGGTTCCCGTGGACCCCTTTTAATTTTATCTGGCCTCAATTTTAACTTGCATATGAATAATTGATGATCTGACCCAGTCTGCCCCTGGCCTCGTTTTGGCTGCTGATTTTGAGCTTCTCCCATGATTTCTTCCATAAAATGTAGTCAATCTGATTCCTATGCAGCCCATCTGATAAAAATCCATGTGTAAGTTGTCTTTTCCATATTTTAGAAAAAGTATTCCCAATGTGGACAGTGGTGAAGCTCCCAGTTGTAAAACAGGTTTGGAAATGGGAGTGGCATCCACAAGCCTATGAAAACTCTATGAAGTTGGAGAAACAACAACAGCTATAGAAAAGCATTAGGTCTTTTGTTCATAGAGTCGCTATGAGTCATGCTCGACTCAATGGCAATCAACACAACATCTGCAATGAATAAACCACTGTAATTACAAAATTCAATCATTCTATTTCCAGCTTCATTTCTATCACCAAGACCATATTTCCCAATTACTATTCCTTCTTCAGTGTTTTCTATTTTTGCATTCCAGTCACCAATTATCACTACCATATCATATTGCATGTTTGGTCAATTTCAGACTGCAAAATTTGGTAAAAATTCTCAATTTCTTCCTTTTAAGCTCTAGATGAAGGAGCATATATTTGAATAATATTCATGTTAACGAGTCTTCCTTGTATGAGCATGGATATTTTCCAAACACAACACTGTATTTCAGGATAGAACTTGAAATTAACTTTTTACTATGAATGCAACCCCATTCTTCCTGTTTTTCATTCCGTGCATAGTATACCATATGATCATACCTGATTCAAAGTGACCCAGGCTAGTCCAATGCATCTCACTAATGCCTAGTATGTCCATATTAATGTGTTCTATTTCATTTTTAACAATTTCCAGTTTTCCAACATTCAAACAATGTACATCCCATATTCCAATTGTGTGGATCATGACAAGTTGTGGCTGATATTGAGATGAATGGGAATCCCAGAGCACTTGATTGTGCTCATGTGAAACCTATACCTGGACCAGAAGGCTGTTGTCAGAACAGAGCAGGAATATACTGTATGGTTTGGAATTGGGAAGGAAGTGTGTCAGGGTTGTATTCTCTCTCCATCATTTGTTCAAGCTATAAGCTGAGCAAATTGTGCAAGAAGCTGGACTCTATGACAAGGAGTATGGTATCAGGATTGGAGGGAGACTCAACAATAACCTGCATTATGCAGATGACACAACCTCACTTGCTGAAAGTGATAAACACTGCAACCACTTGTTGCAAAAGATCAAGGAATGCATCTTTCAGTAAGGACTGCATCTCAGTATCAAGAAAACAAAGATTCTATCACTGGACCAATAGGCAGTGTTATAATTGATGGAGACTGAAACTGTCAACAGCTTCATCTTGCCACGATTCACAATTAACACCCTTGGTACAAGCGGTGAAGAAGTGAGATGTATTGCACTGGGAAAATCTGCAGTTACAGACCTTTCCAAATTACTGAGCAGTACTGATGTCACTTTAAGGACTGAGGTGTGTCTGATTCAGGCCATAGTCTTTCCAATTATTAGCTATGCATGTGAGAGCTGGACAATGAATAAGTGCGACAGAAAAAGAATTCATGCCTTTGAGCAGTGGTGTTAGAGAAGAGCACTGAACCTCCCATGGACGGCCAAGAGAACAAACAGATATGTCTTAGAGGAGGTGCAACCAGAGCACTCTCTGGAGGCAATAATGAGGCTTTGCCTCACATACTTTGGACATGTTGCTAGGAGGGGCTATGCCTTGGAAAGGAACATGATGTTGGGAGGGGTGGAGGGTCAGCGAAGGAGAGGAAGATCCTCAATCAGGTGGACTGAAATGGTTACTGCTGCAATGGTCTCTTGTGTGTCAGGAAGTGTGAGGATGGTGGAAAGGGTTAAACCGGGCTGCTCCTTAGAGGCAAGGATTCTGAGGCTTCGTCTCACATACTTTGGGCATGTTGTAAGGAGGGACTGATCCTTGGACAGGGACATCATGCTCGGGAGGGTGGAGGGACAGCGCAGGAGAGGAAGGCCCTCTATGAGGTGGCTTGATTCAGTGACTGGGGTAATCGGGATGGGTGTATCAGAGACAGTGCAATTGGCACAGGACAGAGCAGAGTTTAGAGCTCTTGTACACAGGATCGCTATGAGTCACAAACGACTTGACGGCACATAACAACAACAACAACAACAAACAGCACCTAACAACAACAACCAAACCCTATGGATAAGGGAAGAATATTGTACTGTATAATGCCAGATGAGCTCCTAAGGTTGAAAGGTATTAAAAAGGTGAATGGGGAAGTGCTGCCTCCTCAAAGTAGATCTTATGAGCTGAAGTGTTTCAATAAGAAGCACTTGCTGCAGAAGACTACAACTTTCAATTACACATCATTAACAAGAAAACAAAAAAAATTCTCAGCACGTCAGCCAACAGCACAATAGATAGAAAAAAGACT